GCGCTCTTTTTGATATTAAACAATGACTTTTCTTTTATCTTTTTACTTTGTTTGGACGGACTATTCATAGTCATCATCGCATATAAATAGGAACATTTCTATTGCGTCTTTTATCAATTTATAACTCAATCAAAAAAGCGACATTTCTATAAAGAAAAGATGGGAAATCGTATTTTTATTACGACACACGTATGGCCCACACATGTCAAATGCTTATATTTCACGGTATTCATATGAATCAGTGAGTAATTGTAAAATGTGCCCTTAAAAGATGTGAAATTGCTGGTGACGTAGAATTTGCATAAAAATCCGGTCAATACCGGAAAAACAGTATGCAACGATTCAATCGATGGTAGCTCAACATTCAATCGAATCTGTCGGTCAAATTGCGTTTAGATTATCACAGAAAGATATAGAAATTAGTAAAACTACATTAAGAAGAAGATTTAAAGAGGTTAGCATACATTTAATGAAACCGATTTCGAAACCGACTTCGAAACCGTTGCCAACAAGTGACGATATTTTAAAAAAGACTCCAGCAAGATATAAAACTTAAAGACTGTGACTCACGTGAAAATGACTGGGCATTAATGAAGAACAGAATAAACAAAGAACCGTATATATTGATCAATAATTTCATTGAAACAATAAAGAAAAGAATGGTAAAATTTATCTATTGAATTTGCTGAAAAATTAGTCGATTCTATGAAAAATAGAGTAGAATCGTTAATTGAAAGAAATCATGACTATATATAAATTATTACGATGATGTACATATTATGTAGATTTTATAAATAAAATATAATAAAATAACTCTTTTGTCTTCCTCATTTTTTTAATCGTGTCCACTTATGGCACTTACTGTACATTTACAAAACTATTTTATGTTAAATGAACAATGAATAATATATTTTCATTATGATTACGAAAATTGTTTAGAACGAAAAAAGAATTCAGTCTACACAATAACATCCTGCTCTACTAATACAAAACAATTTTTTTTTAGAAAACATAATGAAAAAGGTCCTTTCAAAGACAGCTCATGCACTAATAATAATAATAATAATCCTGTATTTTCAAAAAATGATGAATAACAATAAAATCTTCTAGCATTTTTGTACTCGTACCTTGCTAATTACTTAAGGTTTGATATTAATTGTTACTCATGATGGAGTGATAATGAATCATCTAAATTAAAAGAAAAAAAACAATTACAAAAATTGTAGAATCAGTTCATGAATAACATGTTTTTGCTCGGAATATTTCAATATAATAATTAACTAGTCTTGGTGAAATATATCGTACTTCGACTCAATTATTTCGTGTAAACGAGCAAAATGAGATGGATGAAAATAATCAAGTCTTACTTTCTTAACTTTTCTAATGTGAATTTCATATTTTTAGAAAAGATTAAATCGTCATTTATTAGAATACCTTTTTTGTAACTCACTTATTTAATTTATTTTCTTCCACTTAAAAGGATTGAATACAAAAAAACATATAGTGACGTATTTTATAGTGTCATTCTACAGATTTATGCAATTGGACAAGCCATATATGTAATTCACCACGGTATTCTGCGTTCATTGCTTCGAGCAGACAATAAGTGCAATTAACAACTGGAGATTTCAATGTCATTAAGAATTTCTTCATCTTCCTTTTACACTTCCAAGTCATCAACTCAAATTTTTATTGATAGAATTCATTAACCCTTTCAATCCGGCGACTTCTTAAGGAGCCACCCATGTTTTTCTTTTCAACATTAATGTATGCAATTAAACTGATTTAACAGTTCAATAGACGTCAACAATACGTTCAACTTGATATATCACATTAATATTTTTTATACTCACACATTCTCCCTCCCCCCCCCCCCCACAATCTCCTTTTCTTTGAAAAATAAATTAAAATAAAATAAAATAAGAAATTTAAAAAAGCCTCTTTAGTCTTTCAAAAAAAACCGGGACTGAAAGGGTTAATTGAGTTGCATCCTTATGATGAAATGTGAAGAAAGAGGATGACACATGATAGATAACTAGGAAGAAAAGTCTTAGAAAACAGTTTAAAAATAAATGAGAGTTGAATATTTTTTGGATGGAAATAATTTTTAATATCAACGAATTCTCGTGGAACGGGCATATGGTCTATGATTGTTTTCAAAGAAATATTTTTTATTTACGAAATAATTACTTATCTTAATTGTAATATGTTTACTCATAAAAAGTAATTTATTAGACTCGAACATTTTTTAGCAATTTTTTTCTCCTTCCTTACTAACAAATATCAAACATGCTTGAGTGTTACAGTGAAAAAAAGAATTAAAGATATAATTATATACTGTAAAAAACTTCGTGTCAACAATTTTAGTCCTACTAAATCAATGAACGAGGATGGAGGGTCAATATCTGTTGAAAACGGTTTCCTCGAAAAATTTGCATTCTTCCATATCAAACTATCATACAAAGTGTTCGAAAGAAGTTCTGGTAGAATTCAGTATATAGTACTTATTTGTGCTGTGCACAGGTCGGTTGAAACAGTCAATGACCGTTACATATACATTGAACACAACCGTTGATGATACCCAGCTCTTTTAATCTATCCATTTCATGAGTGACCAGATTAGTTTTCATATTATTCGATGGCAATTTTCAAGAGCTTTAAAATGGTATAAAAACATCAGAGAAAAAAAATACTAGCCACTCAAAGAAATCCGAAGACTGTTGTTCTCGAGACAAGATGTTGAACTTTTTTTTACTGGTATTCAGCAGATTTCGATAAGAAAATTACGATTTGGATGAAAACTAAAGAGTCGTCGCAAAATTTCGACTCCTCTCTGTAAATTGATTTTGCTCATACAAAATACATATGTAAGTAAATAGTTGACTGAAATACACAGCTCTGTAGAGCGAGATTAAAACTATCATCTGAAAGGAAAATAATTCGAATTCTATCGAGATCATGAAATGTTATATTTCCTTTAATAAGCATGACTGAGGAAAGTCATAATATTCATAACTAGAGTGTCGAGATTCAAAACGTAACTAATAGAATATTCACTTAATGAATTTGCGGTACCCACAAGCCGCTAAACTAACGATTTTGAATGAATTTGATGTAACGAGATGCATACTCAACTCTATAGTCGTATACCTCTAGTGTTCAAAAAATTGAGAAAAGAGTGGGAGGAGGAGGAGGAGGAGAATAGGGCTTATCTTGATACCCACCTCCGCTCAGAAATTCAAACATCCAGATCCATATCTACATTCACACAAATATCCACATCTGCATCTTTGCTTACACCACCCAAAATGAGATCCAATTTCCTAATGAACTGAATGTTTTGTTTCAGCATTAATATGATAAGTATAGTAGGAGCATCAAGAATAAATACACGAATACGATGAAGCATAAACTCAGATGTTGTTCAACGAATACAAAGACACTCGCATGTTAATTCTGGAGAAATGTATGATAATTTTAAAACAATTGTTTAAATGCACATATTCACTTTTTCATGATGGACAACATCAGCTTTAATACTACTTTGCATTCCCTGTAGGACACCTATCTAAAGAATATCCTAAGTACTTGAACCGGTGAGATTTTTCTCGGTGCTCGGTTTGAACATCGAGTCGAGCTCGGTAACCAAGCTCTTGACAGTGGCCTTGACCTTCTCAAGGTCAGTTTTAATCATCTCGAGATCGATTTGGACCTTATCAAGGTTGGCTTCGACCTTGCCGAGTCGGATATTAACCGCCCAGGTCGATCAGAACGGATATTATTTGTGGCTCATTTTCTGTCAGTAAGCAATGACTAAATAGAAACTTTATGGTACTAAACGGGTCGTATTTCCTCATGATTCGGTCCATAGTAGTACAGTGCTATATACAGTCGTATATGTACCGTCATTTCACTATGACATGACCGTATTTCTGCATCGATAGTTGTGACAGTATACGACTTGTTTACATATCATATTTTTACCGTAAACAGCCGTATAAGAATCGTCTTTTTTTTTATCTAGGTGGCTCCAGGACAACATCCATATATTTCTGGATGACCAGTTCTAATTCGCTGAGATCGAAAACTTCAAAAAGGCAAAAAATTAGCTCGTTCTTTTTCTCAATTTTTTCAAATATAAGAAATTCTTTCAGAGGCTCTCTTATTTCATCATCTCTGTTTATAGTCATGTTTATGTCTCACTTCTTTTTCTTTTCTTTCTTCTATCCACCATTCTATTGAATGTAGTCTACATATTCAGTAGTTCTCCTCAATGTCTGTTACTATCATCTATCTGTGTCATCTATCGTCTTAGTGAGAACAAATAAAAAACGAATAAAAAACTTCTCACACCACCTCGAAACATTTCTAATAATGACTTCTCTCTTGATTTTCTCCACCTTTTATATGCAGCCTAATTCTTCTTTTCTCTCTTTCTTTCTCTTCGATATCCACATTAATATATCGTATGTAAACAACTTATCAGATGATGAACACTATTGGACTGAAAACTAAGATTAGATCATCAAGGCGCACTATTATGACGCGCATACAATATTTCATTCTTTCTTTCCTCCGATTGACTAGAACTCGATACTGTCTTCGAATATCTCGATGTACAGAGAAAAGAATGATATAAACAAAAGTCTACTATGACTAAGATACTTTGATTCAACAAAGGTTTACAATTACACATGATTTAGTTAGATGAAACATTTAATTAAGCTGCTTTTTTTTAGGAACATATATGCAATCAGAAAAATCTGTTCAAATACATATGAATATGTGATTAAAAATGTTACACAAAAACATGAGATTATAAAAAGCATGTTTTATTAAAAGTGTCTTCGAAAAATGATTTTCAATTTTTTTTAGTATATTGATAGTTGTAAGAGATACCGGTGTTGATTGATATAATGAAATGATGAAACAGGTTAACTTGAAGAATTAGTTGTATTTCGTTTAAAACCTCCTAAGAAAAGATTATAACGAAACAAATCATGTCTAATTATATTAATATATCAGCCAGTACATCATCAGGAATATTAACACGATTGATGTTAGCATTTCAAACAAGTTGTTTTAGAATAGTCGCACATTTAATTGAAGAAGATACAAAAGTACTTCGTCTGAGTACAAATACAAATGTATTCGATTCATCATGAAATACAACAGAATATTATGAAATTTCTTATGAATGGTATTTTTTTGAACGGTTAATCACTGAAAATGAAGCAAATGTGAATTGTATTAGAATATCTTGCTGACATTACTTTTTAAAACTGATGATACTTTAACATTGGTTATGTTAACTATGGATATAGTATATATACTTATAAATGAATTATCATGTGATGTTAATTTAGCAACATCAATTCTTTCAAATAAACGTCAACAAACACCATTAATTTTAGCATGTCAATTACAATTTGTTACCAATTATAGGGGAATTATTAAATCATAAACAATATCATATATTAACATATTATTATCAATATCATCAACCAATACACTATTATTTGTCAACATCAAAACGTTCAAATCAATTATATGTAGATATATTAAATTTATTTATGGAAAAACTTAAATTAACAAATAATAGTTTAAATATTCAAGAAGAATCTGAACGTACACTATTACATATAGCTATTTATCATGATTCAGGTACAATTGATTCTACAACTCATGTTGAAGAAATATTAATTGATAATGGAAATAATTTATTCATAAAAGGTAAATCAGGAAATATACCATTACATAATGTTCTTATTAATAACAATGTTGATGATAATTCTATGGAATTATGTGTTTTGATTACTAAATCAGTATTTTGAGTGCAGACAATTGAACATGTGAGGATCACTATTACACCGAAAACAAATATTAGACCATCAAGATAAGCAGACATGTAATTACTATAATATATTTTCTTTTCTCTTTCCTCTTCTTCACTAAACCTCGAGACTATCTTTAAATATCTCGATATATACACTGTAGAAATATATAGTTTTTTCGTGGCAAAAGATTCTTATATTGTATCTTGTATTTGTATTTTTTTTCAATCGATACTAATCAATAGATATCTTAATCATATTGATTAATATCTGTATTATAGTTATCGAATAAAACAATCCGTCAACGCCTAGAAAAATGGCATACACGCAGGTCAAAACAATTTAAATTATTTCGAACAAATTACGGATGGCTAGGTAAGCAAATCAATTAGATGATAAAAACATATTTTTTTTTACTACAGCTATTCGTTGATATTATATCTTCATCAACTTCATGAAATAATTCACTATCCAGTATCACAAGATATATTTCATTGTTGTCGAGAACTTGGAAATAGTATTTTGCTTTTCTTTTTACGTTTTATAATGATTGAACAAAATTTAGTAAGTTTAATCGATATCAATGTTAATTAAATACATATCTATTTTTAATCTCGAGATGAAAATTAAAGATTTATTATAAGCTGCACGATTGCAAAATTAAATTTCATGTTCATATACAGAAGAAGATGAATCACTTGAAGCAAAATATGTTTGTATGCTACTTATAAATATCAAACAAATACCTGATACTGGAAAAGTAAGTAGTAGCATTCTTTATCATCTTCATCAACATTATTCTTATTTTTTTTTTAGCAAGGAAGACTTGTTGAAGATACTTATTTATTAACATGTAAATATCTTTGTATTCGTTTGATTACATTTGAAGTAATACTTGATCGTATTCGTACATTTCTTTTTAATGATTCTATACGGATAAATAATGCACTATCAGCAATGAATAATAATACACGTCCGTTACCATGTGTAAGTGACATACATGATTTTCTTTTACGTATATGGAGTGCTGCTATCTGCCGATTGTAATATTGATTTGTGACGAGGTGTCCAGTAGATGAAAGAAAAGAAGTAATTTGTCCCATCTTTTGAAAGCAGATGAAAAATCGATCAAATTTAGATAAGTTTTTTAACACTCCAAAGTACATAGGTCTTTTTTCCGTTGAAACGGTTGATTGCTAATATAGAGTAATATTTTCTGTAAATGAAAATCATCATGATGCTACTGTTTTTTTATTGAAGAATTGACAAATTCATTATGTTATGAGTCACAATACTACAAAAACATACACGACATTCAGTATATTACGCATACATTTTTTTTGTCACAATAGAACAATGAAAAATAATATCTCGAAATATACGCAAGTGATATAATTACGACTTTTGAGGGTATGTAGATTTTTTGAGAACTCTAAATTTGAATATTAAAGCAAAGTTTGTTTTTTAATTAAATTAATGAATTCATTATTAGGAGGTTTATAAAAAAAAAAGATGGTGTTCAAAATTTTAATGGCAGATAAAAATTTTTTATGTTGTATAACTCTCATTATAAGAATGATTTCAATAATAAAATTCAAATTTTTCTTTTTCCACTAAAACGATATCAAGTATATATCATAATAATCGATAAGAGGCAAATAAAAACGTATTTCGTACTTGAATTATTACTTTCTTTACTTTATAGGTCACTGATATGACACGTAAATGTGTTTAATATGTCTACATCTCACGATACGAATATCCTCTTTTGACAAACTTAAAATATGTACCAATCGATGAATTATTTTTTAATTTTATTAATCACGTTTGTATCATGTAAGTGTTGCCGTTTTCTTTTTGATAATTTCATATATTATTCTATAAATTTTTATTAATAGTTCAAACAAGTAAGACAGAATCTACTGATATAAAAAATCATTTTAATCAATCAAAAATAAAACAATGGTGGATTGAAAAACATTATCCAACATCAATAACTATTGTAAATGATCAATCACAGATTTCATCATCGTCGTCATTTGAATTCTGTGTACCATTTCATACTTGTCCAACAAATTTAAATCGTACTATATTAGTTATATTGGTTTCTATATTTATTCTGGGCATTTGTTTCTATTATAATTGTTATGAATATTGTATGGTGAAACACCAACTTGACGTTGAAAAACTTAGACGATTACAACAATATCAATATGTTAACAATTTTGTACATAACCAAGGTTTTTCTATTTAATTCAAAATGATCTAATTTCTCTTGACTTTATAGACATCTATAATTGTAATGAGTATATTTTTTATTTTTTACTCATATTTAGTTATTTTATTATTCGATTGATGATTAGTTTCGGTCAATGCTATACTTTTTTTTATATCATTCATTACTACAATATCTATATATTACATGCATAGATCTTCTTTTTTTTTGTTCGTTTCATACACTTTTGTACTATTACTAACCATATATATGATTCATTGATCTGTATGAAAAGAAAATGTATACAACTGTTATTGCTACAATGCTTATATATAATTATGGAAGCATCTGGTTACCGTATAATGACTCGTAAAAATGAATAAATCACATATCCAGTTTAAATAGGCTTTTCTTCGTAACTTAACTATGATTGGTTGTCTATCATCATTACATACTTGTCAGTTTGTTTTTTGTATGAAAATGTGTCTGATTTTATTCACTGTGTCATTTTGATGAGTATGTCAGATTATCTTTTTTCTTTCTTTTTTGCTTATTCTATCTCCAATTTCTACCTGAATAAAAGAGCAATAAACAACCAAACATATCATTCATGCATCCTTACTTTCAGCAAAGAACACAAACTAAAGGATCAATGATTGATGTATATATTGATCCCATGTATACAAACCCAATGAATATTATCATTTAATATCATACACATGTATTTATCCTAAACAGAACAGACCAAGGCCGAATTTACCTTTTTTTTTTTTACTTTTTGTTCTTCTTGAGATAAATAAAAAAAAATACATCAGATATAGCATAGTATGGGCACTTCAAATAGCTGTCTGACAATATCATTTAATAATTTCCACTCATTATGTCGTCGCAGTTCAATATCAAAACTAAAACATGACTATCAAGAACCAAATTATAATAATGCAATTAATATAAATCATGTATCAGAAGATGAATTGTTACTATTACCTGGTATAAATCGACACTTAGCACAAAACATAATTCAATATCGACAAAACCATAATGGTTTTAAACAAATCAGTGAACTTTTACAAGTTAATGGGATAACTTCGAATTTACTTAAACATATTTATGCTGATATAACTATTGATTCATTTTCTAGTTCTTTATCAAATACTAAAAAAGAACTTATTAATCTAAATTTAGCATCATATAATGAATTATGTTCAGTAGATGGTTTAACACCAAATCTTATTAAGCGAATAATTCAACATCGAAAACGAAACGGATTATTTCATTCTATTGAAGATTTACTTAAAATAAAAGGAATTGATTATATTATTTTAGAAACAATTCGTCCTTTTGTCACTGTTGGTGATCAACAAATTAGAATTTCTATTAGTAACCCTTCATTGAATAATCTTTATTCAATATTAAAAAGAAATGATAATAATGTAAAAGATACATTTTCACCTGTTCCACATAGATTAGAAACATTACCAATTGAAATACAAACAACATTTCTTTCATTACCTCCTTCACGTCCATCTGCCATTGATAATAATAATAATAATAATAATAATAATAATAATAATAATAATAATAATAATATGATACAAAATACTTTTCGTTTTGCTTCATGGAATTTACAACAATTAACAAATGATAAAGTACAAAATCCAGATATTAGAGAAGTTATTTGTCGAGTTATACTTGAAAATAAGTAAAGAGAAGAAATTAATTTTTCAATTGATCTAATTTTTATTTGTTTAGTTTTTCATTAATTGGTATTCAAGGAATTGAAAATAAAGAATCATTGGATTATATTATACAAGAATTAAATAATCCAACTATTCCATCTATTAAAAATTGGTCTAATCATCGCCAGGGAAAATGGAAATCTATTACCAGTGATGTTTCTGTTGAGATATTACAAGTAAATTAAAATATATATTCTTTCTTTTCTTATATTTTATTTTTAATGTAAAAGAGAACTGAATATCTTGGATTTCTATATGATGAATCAATTGGTATAGAATTAAAACAAGCTTCATTATTACCATTTAAAACATATTTTACTCAATTACCATATATTACTATATTTCGTATATTTAATAAACTTGAATTAGTTTTTGTTAATATTCATTTAAAAACAAAAAAATCACATGAAGATAAAAATCAAGAAAAAAAAGATGAAGTTAGATCATTATCAGTTTTAGCTCAAGCTATGAAGAATACGATTGGTAAAATAAAAAGAATAAACTTAATTTGTTTTTTTTTTATATTTTATTTTTAAGAACAAAAACATGTGATCATTTTTGGAGACTTTGATAGTATTCCAACAGCTTCAGAATTTGAAGCATTAATTAAATGTAATTACTTATATGTTATTCAACAAAATACAGATATTAGTTTAAAAGAACCACAAGGATCAATTTGCTTAGATAATATTTGGCTTTCAGAGGAAGCGAAAAGTTTAAGTACAGGTAAGATTTATTTTTAACATCAATTTAAACTATTATTATTTTCAGGAAACTCGGGAATTATTCGTGATGGTCTTACTAATATTTGGATTTCAAATGATTGGACCTTAGGCGGTTTAGTAAGTGATCATTGTCCAATTTGGATGGAACTCGATTTATCTTAACTTAAAAAAAAACTATATTCTTTTTATGTTTATAACAATATATATGTGTTTATATACAACATTTATTTACTATTATAAGTTCACTTTTATTGTTATAGTTGTAATGCAATATTTTGTTTGATATTTATTTTGTAAAAAAATAGAATATTTTATAGGTTGTGATTTAAGTAGTCAGTAAAAAAATATACAAATGATCAGTACTTGGATTATTCGTATTTAATTACAAAATGGTCAGTTTGTTATATATAATTAGCAGTAAAAAAATACAGTTTATACCAGTAAAAATATCAGATTTAGCCAGTGAAAAATATAGATTTCATTAGCAGAAGTCTGTTTTAATTCGCATAAAATAGCGTATGCGTATGGGCTAGAATAGGTTTTCATTGAATTCATACTCACACCCTTTCCAAGAGAAATGACTATTTTTTGTTTTTGCTAAGAAGCTTTGTTTCTTTTTAAATTTCTCGCCTAAAACATGGTCTAAAAAATTAAAAACTATATATCTGTAATCAGCATCGTGAGCTCTATCGGCTCCTGTATAATTCAACTAAATCTAACTTTTGCTTGACTTTACATTAGTGATACTTTACCAAAAATTCGTCTCACAGACTCGGTTTTACAGACTACGTACATGAAACGAAAATTTTTTTAATCTAAAACAATACATCAGTTTTGTTCGTGTGAGAAATGTATTTTTAAAAAAATAGACCATACATAATTGTCGAAAAAACTCGATTTTTTTATCCAAAGCTTTCAAAAACAATAACAAAATGCATGTTCTTACTCGGCTCGCCGAGTTCTATCTAACCATGTATAAAACAATCTTGCTGAAATTTTACATTTTCTGTACGTTATAAAACATCATTTTTTTCACGTTCTGCACGTCTTCTATATAATTTGTTGCAATTACCAAAGGATGAAAGCACCTAAGAGGTCGAATTAACCCACTAGTACTTTTCTAGGCCAACTTCGTTGAATCATATATCAATGGAAAGAGCATGTTGAAACTAATATTTTGATACTAATCTCAGGAGATTATGACCGAATTTTGGAAGTTAAAAGCTATCCACAAAGTAGCGCGTTTTTGGTCAATTTTTTGATCATCGATCCTATCATAGTGGATTTAGTTTCATTATTAGTAGATAAGACAATACAGCACTGAAATTATGAGTTTGTCAGCTCCTTGATGGAGCTTTAATATCATATATATATTATCAATTGATTGTTTAATTCCATGAGATATAGATTCGATATATTGATAGACACTAGTAGTATAGTGGCTGTATTTATCATCCGTTCCTCTTTTGCAACCAATATTGTAATTTGAAAATTGAAATAACCAAAAATCTGCTATTACCCATTTAATAATCTTTTTAAAAGCTACAAGATCATATGTTTTCCACAAATAAACAAAATTATGACTTAACAAGTTTCTAAGTATATTGTTCTTCGGATACAATTTTGCGTGTTGTTAATCAGTATTTAGCAGATTTCAGTTAGAAAGGTTCAATTTGAGTGAAAATTAATGTGACATTCAGAACCAGTATAAAAATCTGAGTTGATCTACGTATGATTACAAGAATTTCTGAAACTTTTTTTTTTCGTTGAAAAATTTTCTCCTGGTCTCCTCAGGAACCAGTCGAAAAATGAATTGTATCAAACCATCGTTTAAAACATTATAAAAAGTTCTTGAAAGTTGTTTAAAGTTACAAGGCGATTAAATGGCATAAATTTAGTCAATAAAAAACGAATGGCCGCCCAATTCGAGTTCGAATATAAATGAAAATTTCGAAATCACGCAAGCACCCACTTGGTACAAGCAAAGGATAAAATTTTATCTTAATTATAGTTTATAATTCAAATTCAAAAGACACTTCCATGTGAATTTATGAAAAAGAAAAAGATAAAGTTTATCTGAATTATAACTTATAATGGAAAAAGGTTTTTTGGCTTTTAGTGCAGCTATGGATGAGAAGATTCATACCATCGAACAATTACCCACATTCGTCACTCTACCGTAGAGCTGCGGCAATAATCTGCTGGAGAGCCACTGAGGGTCTTCAAAGAATTTTCTCAGAATCCAGTGTGTTAAATGCGAATTATAAATTATGAGTAAGATAAAATTTTACTGTTCGCTTTTTTGTCATAAACTTACACGGAAGTGTCTTCTCGATTTTTTAAATACACTGTCGAATTGAAACTAGCCACTAAACTCTTTACTTGTATTCGAACTTGAACTGAGCAACTCATGATATTTCCAACCGAAATCTTCTAAATATTGCTTAAAAAGACATAAAACTGCGTCTGAACAATAATGTACTTAGGAATTCCTTAAGTGGCATACTTCTTTGACTTTAAAAAATATATGATTTTCTGGCTTTTCAAAAAGGACTATCGAGTAAGGAACACCAGAAATTTGGATATTTCAATTTTTAAATTAAAATAGTTGTTGAAAGATAAGAATGGATAATGAATATTGTGAATATGCCAATAGTGTCTACCTGTATATCGAATCTAGATCTCATGGAATTAAACAATCAATTGATAATTTATATATAATATTAAAACTCCATTAAAGAGCTGACAAACTTATAATTTCAGTGCTATATTGTCTTATCTACTAATAATGAAATTAAATCCACTGTAATACGATGAATTACTAAAAAATTGACTAAAAATGAGCTCCTTTGTGGATAGCTTTTAGCTTCCAAATTCGATCCAAATCTCATGCAACTAGCACCAAAATGTTAGTATCAACATACTCGTTTCATTGATATATGATTCAATGGGGTTGGTCAAGAAAAATACTAATGGGCCAATTTAATCTCTTATGCGCTCCTTCTTTGAAGAAAAATATTAAAATAGGATTTGCTTCTGTGTCATCATGAGGGCCGGACAACATCTCCCAAAAGTGGAAAATTGTTCCATTTCTATCAGAAAGACTTTTGTAGAAAACAGCATCCATTACTTTAGATCATTCACACCAGAGAAAATTGAATACTTACAAGCGAGAAATCATCCGTCCAGCTCTACTTTCATGAATAGAAGTGAAAAACACTTAAGTAAACGGAAAGTTGTCATAAATTCAAAATCTCAGATGCCTCCTTCACAAAGATATTGGGATCGCAAAGGTCAAAAGTAGCTGAAAGTTTTCCCTGCTACAAAACTCTACTTCAGTTCTTCAAGCTGCAATTTTTTTTATGACAACTAGGATCAAATCAGTGTGCGTGTTGCTTTTTTCTTTGAAAAATATTGTTCCTAGAGCCCAGGAAAATCAAAACACTGAAAGTAGCGCCAAAAAACTTTTTTTTTCAATAATACTAATTTTGTCAAGACGATCGAGTTTTGTAGGAACAACATCTTGGAGAAAAAAAAGGCGCACCCCAGTTTGACCAAAGTACTCATAAAAACAACTTGAATCCGGTTAAGCATACTACGTGGGAGAAAACTTCGTTATTTTCGTTCAAAATTGATTTTGAAAAAATCCAAAATAAAGTCAAATTTTTTTGTTTATGTGCAGTCTTTTTTTGCTCATTTTGAATTATTACAGGTTATTCAATAGAAAGGAAAAGCGTGCAAAGAAAAATCATTTGTCCATTTCTGTCTAGATAAGCAGAAATCAAAAATGAAATATATTGCATGGAATAGTGATTGATAGATATATGCTGATATTATTTTTTTTCCATTTCTTCTTGATATGTGTGACTTTATGTGGGGTGAACCATTTCTACATAAATATAAACAATTTTCCCATCGATTGATTCAACTGTCCACGGCTGAATCGGCTGGCCTAGTTCCGAGTAAGATTTGAACATCGAGTCAAACTTGGTAACCAAGCTCTTGAGGTGGTCTTGAGCACCTCAAGGTCAGTTTGAACCAGCACAAGGTTGATTTCCACTAGTTTCACAGCATCGTTTAGCTGCTTCTTGGTACTCGGAGCATTGTCGTTTGAACCAAACTACTAAAACAGAAAAAAAGCAGTAGTTGGTTTTTTTTAACAAAAAAAAAGTGCTCATATTTTGCTTTTCTCTCAGCTGACTTTTGAGAAAAAACGGCTTTTCTACACGATACACACACTTGTTCATACAAGTACATAATTCAATCACACACAGCACAGAGTGAAGATGAGAGTTTCTATATCATATAGAAGCACCAAAAATTCTTAGGGAGGCTCTCTTACTTCATCGTCTCTGATTATTGCCATATTTGTTTCTCACTTCATTTTTCACGTCTTTTTGTCTCCTCATCAAACAAGCACAATTTTTTTCTCTGTTCTATATATCGTTCAATTGAATCTAGTCTAGAGAGTCAGCTGTCTTTCTCAATAGTTCTTACCATCATCATCTTAGTCTACCATCTATCGAATTAGAAGCAAGAAATAAAAAAATGAATAAAAATCTCCATTTTGACCTTCAGATATTTGTGATAACGGCTATGCTTTTGATTTTCTGTGCCTTTTATAGATAGTCTAATTCTTCTCCTTCTCTCTTTCTCTTTTCCTTTGATATCGAAATAACTATTCACATGGAAACAATTCATCACATGATGGACGCTATTCGATTGAAAATAAATATAAGATTATCACGGTAAGTTATCACGTTACATACGATATTTCACTTTTTCTTTCCTCTTCTTGACTAGGCCTCGACACTATTACCAAATATCTCGATGTATAGACAAAAGAACGATATGAACGAAAATTTGCTGTGACTCAGGTGCTTTGATACAACAAAGGCTTACAAATGAAATGAATCGGTTAGATAAGATATTCTATGAAGATATGTAGATGGTAACAAATACTGAATGAGAAAAATATGTTCAAATACATATATAGATATGGTTAAAAAATTTATACAAAAATTCAGATTGCAAAAAGAATGGCATATTAAATTTTTTATTATATTCACAGGTGCTTGAAAAAAGAAAAAACCTGCATTAAAATGATTAAACGAACATAAAAATTGATATATCTCACAATCATCAATGGAAGCAGATGTTTTCCTCTATTTTATTTCATAATATTCATAAAAAAATCAAATTCACTGCATTTGCTCCATTAAATGTCGCTTTTACTGATTGAATTTGAAATTAATCAATTTTTATACTCGTTTCAGTATCCAAAACGCCTTTTTCTTTCGCGTTTTTGACATAAAATTAATGAAATTCATGATTTTTTTATTTTTAGAGCCCACGAGTTAGTTGCTATAAGAGATATATGTGTTGATTGTTACAATGAAATGATAAACAGATTCAATTGAAGAGTTATTTGTATTTCATTTAGATCTTGGTAAAAAAAGATCATAACGAACCGTATCCTGTCAAATTATGTTCATGTATGACACAGTATATTAGCAGCAAAATTAAGAGCATTAGTGATGGCATTTCACAAAAAACGATTTTAGAATACTCACATATGAAACATTTAATCATCTTCTATTCGATGATATTTTATTTATTCATTTAATTAGACAATCAAAGTGAGAATAGATCAGTATTAAAATTAAACCATTTTATCATCAGATATCATCCGGTGACTAATATTATGTCTTTTTTTTATCATAACAAAACATGGAAAAATTTTGTAATAATTTGAAACCTTTTCATACTATTACTGCTGCACGAAAGTCAAACTTTAGAATTCTTCTATTATCTTTGATCAGTGCAGATAATCTTACAAGGACTTCTAGGTAATATATCTAAAAGCTTTCGACTTCGCTGAAATCGTTCATATCTTCCACATTTCTTATGAAGATTATCAATTGAAAGCGTTTATTAAAAAAAAATTTTTTTTTCGTTTCAAATTCGAAAAAAGAAAGTTTATTTTCATCCTTCAAACACAAAACTGACGAGTCAAAGAATAGCCCAATAAACATAAACTATGTTGTAACGCAAAAAAATTTCCGAGCGAAACAACATGCTACAAAAAAAGCGCATACGAGAAAAAAAAGAAAAAAAAGCCTAAAAAACAGAACAAAAAAGAGACAAAATCATTTTTATGTTTGCTAAACAATGAAATATCACTGAAACTTTCAAGCAAAAAAAGATTTAACGACAAAATTGCACAAGATAACGTAGAGCTACTTGTGATTCATCGTAGACAATATATTCATTATAATTAAGACCACCAAAAGTAGATTTTAATTCTGTGTTGTTAATTAATTTACCAAGTGGCATACGCACACCTAAGAAAAAACAAAGTTCAGAATATTGAAAAGAAAAAAATTCTTTTTTTTTCACTGATACAAACCATAATTTCGAGTAATTGTATATCGTGGATCAGGTATATTTCGACCAACACCTTTACGACTTTGAAATTGACTTAAATCAAGTTCTTTGGTATCGTCATCGTTATAAATATGATTTAAACCAACTTCTTTTATCTTACCCAAAGCAACTTCACACAATATCATAAAACAACGTTCACCATCATTCTGCGTTATACCTGAACAATAATTAAGACTTTTTTCAAATGTGTCTGCTGTATAAATGCCCTAGAAAAATGAAAAAGAAACAACATTATCTAATATCAGAATTGAACAAAACCCAATTGGAAAGAAGAATATTTTTTCCTTGTGAGATTGGATGTTGCCTAGAGATAGATTCAGTCAAGGGGGAAAAAGCGGATCCCGAGATCCCAGGATCCCAATAGATCCCAACGGATCCCAACAGATCCCAATGGATCCCATTGGATTTCGCAAGAGGAAAAAATCAGATCCCAGTGGGTTTCGCAAGAGAAAAAAATCAGATCTCAGTGGATCCCAGCAAATTCCGGGATCCAGTGGGATCTACCGGGATCCGCTGGGATCCGCCAGGATCTATTGGGATCCGTAGGATCCTGGGATCTCGGGATCCGCTTTTCCCCCCTTGCTTTAATCCCTTATAGTCTTTACCTCTACAGACTTACGCCTATGCAGCGTTACTCCCGTATAAGTCCTAACCCACTATAGCCTTATTCCGTTAGAGTCTTATCATTCTATAGCATTATCTCCTTTTAACGCACCCCTCTATAGCCCTACCCTCTATAGCCTTTCCCCTCCTTATTGTCCTCCTCCTTATTGCCTTACCCCTTGTAACCTTACTCCCTTATAGCCTTATCCCTAGTGGCCTTATTCCCTTATACCTGTCCCCCTATATACTTACCCCTTCTAACTTTGCCCATATTACCTTACCCGCTTGTAGTCTTACTCCTTATAGGCTTACTTCTTATACCCTTACTTCCTTATAGCCTTACACGACTTTTGACCTTTAACCATTGACCCGGCACAGACATACTCAGACAGACATTGAACATCCGGTAACAGACATACGGACACTCGATATTATGTATACAGATAGACAGCCCTACGACATCATACTCTTATATCGCACATATTTTTATACTCCATTAGCCTTTCACCTTATAGCCTTATATCTCTGGTAGCTCTTGTAGCATTATCAACTTATTGCCTTACTCCCTCCAGGGTCTATGGGTACTCCCATATAATAGCCCTTGAGAGACTATGGGTACTCCCATAGGATAGCCCTTGGGGTCCCATGGGTGACCCATATAATAATTCTTCAGGACCTGTAGGCGTCTCCATAGGATAGCTCTTGAGGATCCATGGGTGTCCCCATACAATAGCTCTTCAGGACCCATGGGTACTCCCATAAGATAGTCCTTGAGGACCCATGGGTGCCCTATATAACAGCGCTTCAGGACTCATGGATACCTCATAGTCCTTGATGACCCATGGGTACTTCCATAGGGTAGCCCTTGAGCGCCCATGGGTACCCCCATATAATAGCCCTTGACGGCCTAAGAATACCCCATACCATGCCCTTGGGACCCTCCTCCTTACAGTCTTATTTGACCTTTGATCCGGCACAAACATACATACAGACAGACACACACTGAACAGTATGCATATAGATTACCTTTCCAAATAAGCTCCCAGTTGTTGTTGCATCCAAAGGTCCAACAAGAAGCCCTTAAAACAAAAAAAGAAATTAAGATTGAAAGCATATTTTGAAAAATTCTCTTGATGATATACCTCTAGTAAGAATACTAATTAAATTACAAATACTAGTACCATGCCATAATAAATAATGATTATCAAGATTAGATTTAAATAATCGTTCATCTTCATTTGGACGTGCAATTTTAAATATTTGTTCAACTTTAATATTTGTTGTACTAGCCCATATATAGCGTAAAATTAATTGTGAATCAATATCATCTTTATTCATAGCTTCAAATTGACAATTCATTGATTTATATAAATAATCTAATGGTGAAATATTTTTTAAATTAACTTGTGCACCTAAAAACATTTTATATGATAATTCAAGTTCAAGTAAATCATAAATAATTTTTTCTTGTTTTCTTAAGATTTGTTCGCTATCAATAATTGGTAATTTTTCATCAGCATAACCACGTAATGGTATTATTGAATAATATTCATTTGTATATTTATAAATTATTTCTAAAATTGATTTTATTTCATTTTGTTGTTCAATTGATTTTGTACGTTGCATTTCTAAATTTAATTCTTGTTTTTTTTCAAGATTTTGTTTTATTTTTATTAATAAATCACGTGCTTTTTGTAATGTATCACGATTTAATTGTGATACAGGCATCCATTCAATATCTAATTGTGTTTTATCAATATTCATTCGAATAGCTTGACGATTAATTAATGTTCTAAGAAAATTTTTAAATACTAATGATTGAAGTTTCGATGGTGGATGTATTTGTTCCGATTGTAAACGATTAAAATTAATAGGTACAGTTGAATATTTATATCTATCACGTTCATTTAATTTAATTAATGTATATTTTTTAGGTTTAATTTCAAATTGATCTGTATCTTTCCATGCATTACCAGTTTTTTCACGAAATACTTTTAAAAATTCTTTACGACATTCATCTAATGTTGAATATGGTGTTAATTGATATTGACCATCATCACCAATACGTCCCCAACGTGTAAAAAGAAAATATAAATTATTTTTACTTTTATGTTTTATTATTTGCATGCGATAAAAATTATATAAACCATTTATACCATAATTAACATCTGTTTTTGTAAGACGTACATCATATGGTTCATTTTTATCAGTATCAATTAAAACTTCACCTGTTACATTCATACCAGATAATCTATCAACTTCATAAGCAGTATTTTGTTTATGTAATGGACGTTTAGATATATATTTATCAATATATTGTTGTGCATCAGAATAAAAATCTAGTGGATCTAATAGATTTTTATTTGGATCATTTATATAAAAACGTTCAATTGTTGCTTGAGTTGAATTTTTTTGATCATTGATTAATTTTGTTAATTCATCACATACATGTTGACAACCATTAATAGCACCATATTGTAATGGTGATAAACCAGCAAGATCATGTTTTGTTAATGATGCACCTGATGAATGAAGTAATCGAAGTAATTCAATATTACTTGTATAAGTACCATCAGGAAATGGTTGAACTAAATGATGAATACATGTACGACCAAGAGAATCTTTTGCATTTAAATCAATTGATGATGTTACTTCAAATTTATCTGTTTCATTATCATCATGAGATGTTTCATTCGCAATATCAGAAGAAATTGTTGTTGTTGTTGTTGCACCAAGAAAGAATTTTTGAGGTGCTCGCTTTATTCGACCTAGACCACGTCCTCCTTTGCCAGCACGTTGAGAATTTAATAATGTTTCATCATTTTCTGTTGGTGTATAATCTTTATTGAGAAGTAATTTAACAATATCAATATTATTCTATAGATAATGAAAAAGAAAAAAGAATATTGATTATTATAATTAAAACTTGTTAGTGCACTTTCTTTTCGAGCTGTAATATGGAATTCATACGTCTTTATTATACTAATACAAAATATACAAGATGTAAAACCTCTAAAACGGCGATAGTTCTTTTTCAATGATAATCAATTGCTAGCAAGCGATATGTCGTTTCGTATTTTTACATTGTGAACAGAAATTTTCTTTTCTTTTTTTTTAGTTTCATTTGTATAAAACTACTACTATTAGTATTCTAACTATTTGATTTAATGCACAAATAAGCCTATGGTGTACATTGGTTAATCTAAAGCAAATCTCAATGATCTATTATGTATCTCAATGAATTCAGAAACACTGATGTTGTTTATTTTCGAAAGTTAGAATTTGATCAGTCTATGATTTTGTGTTGGTCATATGACAGTCGTGAAATATCAAAATATCGTCCTTGATATCTATCATATAATTGTTTATTTACGCAAAGATCAGAAACTGCGTTATGTAGAATATGGAAAAAAGTATTCCAGGCATTTCAGTTTTAACGATGGCTCTAGAATCTTCTAAACCTGGTTATTAATGTCGTTCAACGCCTTTAATCCAGATTGCTAACGTCTGTAACGGAGAGAGGGTGTGGGAGTTGTGGAACTTCGACTTACAACTTACAATCACTATTTTCTTTGAAAATATACGTCAATTTCACGCAATTAAAGAATAAGATGAGAAAGAAATCATTTTGATGATTTCATTTAATATTAAAAAGTTTGGATTGAAGCAAGAATATGATAAATCTCAAACTGAGAACAGTTTTTACTATAATTTTCATTGTTAATTTTTGGATTTTGACGAGAATTATTCATAATTAGCAAGAAAACATAAATTTACTATGAATAATCTTCAATTTCATATATTGAACTTTTAAATTTAAACAACATTTTATCTAGCGTAAGTTCGAAGGAAAGTTTGAAAAAAACAGTCGATTGAACCATGAACTTCGATGAATTTGTTGAATTTTTACTACTGACAAGAGTATAGTCAATATTTAAAACTAAATTTCATCAAATTCCCCCCTTAAGAGAAACAGAGTATTCAAAAATAACAGTGAGAAGGATGTAAGGATCGAGGATTTGACGAACATTAGTTTTAAGTATTAAGCATTCTATTCGATATAGATTTTTCTTCTGATTCTGCATATGATATTCGTTTCGTTTGAATCTGATGTTCTGATAGTCAAAATCTTTGAATACAAATCCGGATTTATGATGTTTCGCTATCATATCAAAAAAATCAATTTTCTCAACAACTCAACAATACTTTTAAAAAAAATATATATGATTTTTTTCCTAACCATATAATGAGGATGAATATTAACATTTGATGCTTTTGGTGTATATCAATTGTCATAAACTTTTTTGATTTATTTAAACTAAGTTTTACTCAAATTTCAAATTGTAACATTAGGATTCAATAGCTTTTAGGAATGAAAGAGGCTAAAAATTTGACAAATAGTCGGAGGCAGTCTGTCTGGTAGAAAAAACTTGAAATTTTGCATACACAACGTAAAAAGTAGGTAGTACTAGCCTACCCCAGCCCATCTCATATCAAGATCTATGCCGGATATCTTACAATAGATTAAATCAATTTTTCATTTCTAGTTTTCTGATTGACATTAATCAGACAGATATTAATACTTTTATTTTTTAAGAAATTACCTGACGAACAGCATGCATAAGTGGTGTTCGTTTTTCTTCATCAGGAAAATTAACATCAGCATTAAGGTCAAGTAAAAATTTAACAAGTTTAAAATTATTATGAATAATTGCATTAATTAATGGTGATGTTCGTACATTTGTTGAAGGATTATCAGATTTTATAGGTGGATAAAGATTTTTTTCAATTGATGAATCAATATAACCGAATGATAATGGATTCATAGCTATTTCATTATCATAATTACATAAACAATCTAATTGTTTACGTGATGTTATTAATGAACAGATTTGTTCATTTTTAAATGATGTTTCTGAACCTATTGTCCAAAATAATAAACCAATAGGTGTATTATCAAATGAATCAATTTGATTTAAACTAAATTCATTTAAATATTTTTCACGTAAGAAATTAATTAAAATAAAATTTTGTTTAACACATGCATAATGTATTGGATATGAACCATATTTATCTGCTATATTCCATTCTAAATGATATTCATGAATTTGTAAAAGTATTTGTTTTAATAAATTTTCATCATATTGATTCATATTAGCTAATAAATGAAATAAATTTTGCTCTTGAGAATTTTTTTCATGTAAAAGATTTTTTTCTTTTATACGTGATAAAAGTCGTAGAACAAGATTAAGTTTATTATTTAAAATAGCTGCTTCAAGAATTTGTATTATACTTAAATGAAAACGTTCAACTTCATTTAATATTAATGATAATGCACCTTGCCAATCACGTTCAATTATTAAATATATTGATGAATGTTGAATATATTGTTTTTCAATTTTTATATCAACATATTTCCAACGCCATATATCTATATGATCTTTTTTTGATAATGATTTGTCTTTTTGTTCAACAGATATCGATTGTTGATGATTACCAAGAGTAATTAATTGTGTTCGTCCCTTGACGGCTGCTTGAGCAAATAAACCTGTATATTGAGATGTCTCTTTGGTACTGTTTGATGATGAATTACTGATAGGTAATGTATATAATTTTCCAAGATCAATATCAATAGATTGTTGAAGAAAGGTTATAAATAAATTGAGATGACCCAATCCAATACAAGTACCAATTATTGAATTCGAGAGTTTATTTTCAATAAATAAACTGGCAGAATGTTGTTGTAAAAGCATTACACAAACAGTAGAACATTTAGCCTAAGAAAAAATAAAAAAATAAATCCATATAGAGATCTATTCCTCTTCAATTGTTACAAAATACTTACAACAGCTAAATGTAAAGGTGTATTTCCTTCATTATTTTCTGTATCAAGTAATTTATATTTCATTGCTTTAGAAATTAAAACACATAATTCTACAGGATCATCACCAACATTTTTATTAATGAAAACATTATGTAATGGCATATTTCCTAATTTATCTTTTATTAATAAATCACTTCCATTATCAATTAATATATCTTCAACATCAGTTGTAGAATCAATTGCACCTGTATTATGATAAACAGCTATATGTAATGGTGTACGTTCAGATTTTCCTTGAATATTTAAATTATTATTTGTTAATTTAATTTTATCTATAAATAAATTTAATATATCTATATATTGATTTGAACGTTTTGATGTTGATAAATAATAATGTATTGCTTGATTATATTGATAATCATATGTTAATATATGACATTGTTTATGATTTAATAATTCTCGTATAATTCGTAATAATTGTAATTTACATGCAAAAATTAATGGTGTTTGTTGACGTTCATTTGAAAGAATTGATGTTGCTAAATTAATATCACATGATGATTCATTTATAAGCATATGTACTGTTTGATATTCTTGAAGAAAAATTGCTTGAAGTAATGGTGTACGTTGTGTTTCATGATGAAGAACATTTAGATTTTTGGATTTTTTAAGAAATATTTCCAAAGGATGTTTTATTGTATTATCAATAAATTGAACAGTACTTAATAAAGAAAAAATACTTGTTTCTTTTGGTTTAGAAATAATTTCTTCATCATTAGTATCATCCATAGGTTGAATATTTTCATTTGTTTGTTCATCTTTATCATTTTCATCATCTATATCTTGTTCATTTTCAGATTTATTCAATTCATTAATTTGTTTTATTTCAACATCTGGATCACATTGAACAGATTCAAGACAATATTCAATCATTTCCAAAATTGATTGATATTGTTGTTTTAATTGATCTGTACCTTGTGAAGACTAAAACAAAACAAAACAAAAAAAAAGAAATCTATTTTGATCAATAAAAATATTCATTATACTTTATTTTGTTGACAAAATTCATTAAATTTTGAAGCACAATAATGAAATGGCGTTCGACCTGTATCATCAAACATTTGACCCATTTTTTTAATTTGATCATTGAATGGCTAAAATGATAAGAAGATAAATTATTAAAATAAAAATTACTAAAAAAATATAACAAGTGAATAAATTACAAGTTTAATTAATTTTTGAATAAGATCATATTCATTACATTGAATTGCAAAATAATGTAATAAAGTTTTTCCATCATGACTTATATCAGCATTTATTTCAATTTTAGCAATATTTATTAAATAATCGACAAGAATAAAATTTCCTGATTCAAGTGCAATCATTAGAGGTGATTGAACTTTGTTATTCATTTTATTTGGATCACATTTATGATCAAGAAGTATTTGAGCCATTTTGAAAAAATTATCACGAAGAGTATTTTTAGCTTCAACATTCTATGAAGAGAAAAAAAAATTAATTTAATTCTAGATTTCATTCTTTGTTCCTCTCAAAATTAAAAAAAGCACGACTTTCGAGATATCTTTCTATTGAAAACTAGGTTTTGTTTTATCTAAAGCTTTAGCTATAAATCCATGACGCTCGAAAGTTTCTAATATTGATTTTAATGCACCCTTTAAACTCATTTTTCTTGGAGTGGCTTTCCAAGGATTATGTTGCACTATGTTCGAACATTTATCTTACCATATAGTGTGATCTTTGTCCTGATGTATTACTTGCCAAATAATGAAACTAAAATAAAGAAAACATTGAATAATATTCATAAATTCCAAAGTAAAACTCACAGCATTGCTTCCTGTTGCATCAACACATGTACAATCAGCATTATGTTTTGTTACAACATAATCTAATTGTTGTTGTGATGACAATGATATTTCTAAACCGACACTTAACATAACTAATGTTAAACCATCATCAGTTTTAAAATTAATATCAACATGATGTTCAGTAAGAAGATAATCACAAAGTCCATAATGTCCTTTTAAAAATCCTGCTGCTAAACAAGTTGTTTGCCATGAATTAACACAATTAACATTTGCACCAGCTTCAATTAATAAACGTACACAAAAATACCATCCATAAGCAATAGCATAATGTAATGCTGTATTTAATGATGAATCAAATACATTAGCATTTCCACCCATACGTAATAAATATGAAACAATATGTGCATTACCACACATACAAGCATGAATAAGTGGTGTACGTTTAAAACGATCACGAGCTTCAACTCTTGCACCATTTTCAATTAAATATTTAACTATTTTAAAATAACCTTTTTGACATGCTAACATTAATGATGTTAATTTTCCTGATGATGTACTTGTTAATACATCAACATTAGCACCAAATTCAAGTAAAACTTTGACACATTCCTAAATAATTTATTTTCAAACAAAAAAAAAACAAATAATAGAATTCTTTTTTTTGTTATTTTCCTATTAAATGTAAGTATTCATACCAAATGATCATTAAGTACAGCTAAATGAAGTGGATAAAATCGTGATTTATTCATACGATTAATTGATGCAAGACCAAATTTTTGATGAACTATTTGATCTTCAGGATCATTTGATTCAGCTTTTTCTTTTGCTGTACGTAAAACAATTTCAGCATTTATTGCTCGACCATTCATTACAGCAATATGTAAAGGAGAATTACCACCACGATCAACATCATTAAAATTAACTTGTCTTAAAAAAAGAAAAGAAAAAAATTAAACATTTAGAAAACTTATTTTTAATTCTTACTTTGATAAAAGATATTCAAGTGGTTCTGGTCCTTCACATGCAGCAGCAAAATGTATTGGTCGTCGTTCATATTTATCAAGAATATTATATTCAGGCGCAATATTTAATAATTGTTTTAAATATTTTGAATTTGGATTAATCGCTGCACAATGTATGGGTGTTAACTAAAATAAGTTTCTTATTAAACAACAAAGTTTTTTGTCTATTTTGGATGTTTTTGACTGACAAATTTCTAGTCGTCATCAAAATCTCTGTTCTAAGTGTTGAATTAATACTTTTTCATCGTGTGATAAAAGACTCGGATCATGTTGAATGAATTTATTATGGTCAAGAAAATTTAGCCAGATGTTAGAAGTTAATTTCGGTCTAAACTAAAGACTTTTCACCTCGACATGTCGAGTTCACTCTTATAACCGACTGTCATAAAGCTCTAATAGCTAGTAGTTTCAATTCATCCTTTTTTTAGATTGGGTTTCACAAAAAAGAAGATAGAACTCACATGAAAATTATCTCTTGCTTTTTTAGTAACACTTGCTGCACGATTTATTGTTAAATCTTCATTATCAAAGAGTAAAACCTATCAAAAAACAAATTGCTTTTTTTTTGTTATTTTTTGTAAATTATTTAAACAAACTTGATGATGAAGATTATTAAATCCATAAAAAGCATTATCTTTTATATCACCTATAATACTTGCAGCTAATTTTCGATAACCAGAACGAACAATTTGAAAAATTTTGTCATAAATATGACGATGCTAAACAAAAATATATTTCATGGAGAGAAAGAAAAAAAACAAAATTTTCAAATAATTATAACAGAATATTTACTGAATGAGGAAATGCTTCGAAAAGTAAATCATAGATTTGTCGTGAACAATTATTTTTTATTGCATATTCAATTATTTCATTACCATTATGTATTGTATATGCTGTCATTGGATCCTTAAAATTAATCATTTAATGACAGAATTGCCAAAAAAAAACAAAGATGAATTTACTTTATTTAATGCATTATTGCCTTCTTTAACACCTCGACCTGCCATGATTTGAGCAGTTCGAAAACCAAATGTATAAGTATTTGCTCTAAATTAATAGAAAATTTTTTTTTTCTAAAAACAAAAGTTTTTCATTGATTTTTATTAACCTTCCAGTGCTTTGTGTTGTCATTGTAACTGTTGGAAAAGGACATCGATCTTTTTTCGGTGTTTTTAAATCTTCAATTAAAATTTTAATCATTTCAATATTATCATTTTTAATTGCATAGTGAATAGCTGTTAAATCATTATGAAGACTGCGTTTTACATGTACCTAATTGACAAAAAAACAAAAAAAAACAAAGAACGAATATATATATATATAATATTTCTTTTTCTAATCATTGTATTATTTTGTTTTTTTTACCGAACAAACACGATCAACATCATCAATTAAACTTTTCAATAATTTTGAATCATTAATAAGTACAGCTCGAATAGATAATTTACTGTGTACGATGGAAGAAATAAAAGGTAAGGGTAAACTAAATAAATAAGAATTGGTTCTCTTTTTGCAGAATACTATTACTTTAAAAATAATACTTACTTATCTTCGAAAAATGGATCAGTTCGATAATTAATTATATCTAAATTTTCTTTCAATAAACGATTACTTTGTACTTTAAATAATTGTGCTTTTGTTGTTGTAATAGGTTTTGTTGCTAGAAGATTTTTCAAGTATTTAATTAAAACTTTTTTTTTTTTACAAAATACAAACCTGTTTTTTTAGTTGGTTTTTCACCTGCGGTTATTTCAATAATATCTTTTGTTCGTCGTCGTTTTTTTATGGCTAATATAAATAAAATTTTTATTAAATTGAATTAAGATCAGTGTTTTAGGACTATGTTGTTCAACATTTATCCACAAAATATTATGATCGAACCCCAGTACTACCAGCCATGAAATGACCTTGGACAAGTCACTAACAGCTATTTCTCATGGATCATCCGTCCGATAACATTTCGACTACGTTATGACGTACATCGTCTCTTACGGCTAGTCTGTAGTTAGTTAATGTGTATAGGAAGCTCAAGCAATTAGATCTGCCACTAGGCAGCACTAGATATGGGCAAGATAATTCTAGCCGGACCAGGGCCAACACTCTTTCATAATCATGTAAGACTTGCGTCAAATGTCATATTCTCATAACTCATGTGTTCTAAAAGTTGATGCGAAAATCATTGAATAACGATCATTTCAATATTTGCTGTTACAATTTTGATAGTAAAATTAATCTTTTTTTTCTTTCGTAAACATTAGAGTTGTCGAATACATAAACGTACAGAATAGACGAAGTATTAGTGAATTTGAAAGAAGATGTGATGAATCCCCAAGAAAGAACATATTTGAGGTCATGCAAGATGTCTCGAGTTCATTGACACTATCAGTAAAAAAAATATCGCATTTTTCACTAGCATATGTATTACTAAGCGCGAAATCAGGACCAAAAATGATTGGCTTCGCTCATCATTAGGCAGCACCGGAATGTATCCGAAGACAGGGAAATTCTTCTCCTTTCTATTGTACCATGTACTATATGTCTGTGTTCCAAAACAGGGATTATTACCCTTTCGAAAGCAAAAATCTGGATAAAACACTGATTACGATAAAAACTTACGAGCAGCTTCACCACTAATTTTTCTTATTCGTTTCTTAAGTGGTTGTTTACGTAAACTATCCGAAGAAATTTTTCGTTTTTTTGCTTTTGTAGTGGTTGTTGTTGTTGTCGTTGGTTTAATAGCTAAACTATCATCATCACTTGAATCGGGTTTAATTGATTCAAACGTTTTATTATTATTGTCTTTTGTTAAATCCATTGGTTCATCCGATGAAATAGTTTCACCTTTAATTGATTTTTCTAATAAACGTTTTGTTTCAATAATATCTTGTTTTTTTAATGATATTGTTTTATCTGAATGACGAATAACATTTCCTATACCAGTTAATATAGTATTTAGATCAAGTGTATCTTCATAATCTAATTTAAAACGTGTATTTTCATCAACGTTTGTTTCATCACCATTTTCATCAGCTAATGAACACCAACGAATACGAATTTTCTTTGCATCATTAAAAACATCTTGTAAAACTTGACAAAGAAAAAATGAATCAGCTGGACTTCGACATGTTATAAATGTTCTATTTGAATATAAAAGTGTTCGTAAATCATTTGATGATGATGATGATGTTGATGTTAATAATGTTTCAAGTTTTTCATTAGCTGCTCTTTCTGATAATGATGTTGTATCATCATCTTCATCATCATCATCCTTGAATTGATTTCGATTAGATGTTGTTGTATGAGCATGACGATCGATTTGAACAACCTAATCAAAAAACAAAAATTAATTTAACCATCGTACACTTAATCAGATCAGTTTCATTTATGAGTTTTTTTTGTCTAATCAATATATGAAATAGATTTCTGTATTAAAGTGTTGATAAGAAAGAAAAAAACATTATTCACTTTTTTCTTTCAAATTCAACATGCGAATTATACGATTAATAATATATATTTTATTTTATTCAGCTACAAAAATTGATCGATACACATAGTAATATAGAAATCTATAATGACAGAGCAAAAACCTTTTTGTTTTTTAAATCAAGGTTATCAACACAGACGAATAAAATTAAACCCATACAAACAACGCATATGTTTCGCTGATATACACAATATATAAATTAGCATTTTTAATTAGACGCAAAACTACGAAATAATTTTCGCTTACATTTAGAAAACATTGCACGTACCTGTTTTTCCTACTAGACAAAATGTTTATTTTCACCTATATTATAATATATGTATCAATGACTTCTTTTGCATTGACATCGGAAAATGATTTTCGAAAGAATCTTTATGAACAAGAAAAGTACTATTTTAAGTATTAGATTCCAAGAGAAGATAACTATTATTCTTCTACTACAAAGAATACATAGACTAAAACATCGTTCATTTTTTTGGGTTGGGAAGTAACTCAATAAAATTTAACAGAATCATAGATTTATTTATGAATCACATAAAATTCGAAGACAAATAAATATCAACAAAAACTACTAATTAAAAAGTATAGATTTAAAGATCCTTTCTTTTGTTTTTGGTCGAAATTGACTTAGACAAACTAAATTTCAATTGAGAACACTGGCGCACTCTACAACTTCCTAGATTTAAGTAAACTTTAATTAAAATACAAACATAACTTAATATATCAGCTCTTTTTTGATCTTTTTTAATTTTTAAATATACATATATATATGTAAAATAGATGAACATCATTTGAAATACGACGAGCGAGTTGAAATAAAGATTACAGTTTTAATTATCTCTAGTGGAGTTGCAAAAAGTTTCTTTTTCGGTTTCACTTTTGAAAAACCTTAATCGATCTCATCTCTGTTACATACAATACAAAAACTAAGATTGACTTTAAGAATAGCAAGATACTCAATAGTACTAGAAACTAAAAATTGTGATATGATGCTATTATAAAAATTAGAAGAACTACTCATAATTTCTAAATAGATATTTTTATTTAGTATCCAGTTCAAGGTTTTATTAAAAAAATTTTTGCCCTATTACAATAAATTTCTTGACTATGATTTGTATAAACTAATTTCAGCTTCAACGAAGATTCCCAAGTGATAATCGAGTTTCGAACTAATAATTTTCCTGTATGCTGCTAATCATTCCTTGCTAAGATTTCAGCTTCTATTCGGATTAATAGAGAAAAAATTGAATCATAATATTTTACCTTGAAACTTTACTCATACATAAGGTCTAATTACATTTCGCATGTCCTTAAAGTTTCAGCTCGAACAGATGAACACCTTATGAGATACTGCATTTACAAAAAGGCCACGTACTCTCATCAAACATGTAAGAAAATCGCATTTGTTCGATAATTCAATGTCTTCTCTGATAGACTCATCCGTTCGAGCTTAAACTTGTAAAACATGCAAAATATCATGATTCAATTTTTTTCTTTATATAATGGTACAAGCTAAAATTCTAGCAAAATGTCTATTACTCGATAAGGAATATCGTGACTTCTTTTTTGCAGGAAAAGCATTTTGGAAATATTCTCTCGTTAGCTTTAATTTCAATAATTAATTGATCTAACTCACATTCCAATAATTTCCATTTAAACCTGTATGAGCAGTTTTCTTTCGTTGTTTGTCACTCGTACTTGTTGTTCTTGGTCGATTTTGTTTCTAAAATAAAAAATTTAATCTATCTTTCTTTTTCCAATATTCTTTTGTATAATGTTTTTTTTCTGCTTTTTACACGTTTAGTATCAGCTGATTTCTTCTTTCGATTCTTTTTAACGGAAACTTTAACTGGTTCTTTTATATCTTTTTCTTCAGGTGATGAATCTGCATCATTTTCAGCTACCTAAAATAAAATCAAATAGAAAAAAAAGAAAATGGTTTTTTTTTGTTTTTCATTTTTGTAAAGAGTAATTAAATTACATCAACAATTTTTAATTTTGATTTTTTGCCTCCAACTAAATCTTTTTCATCATCTGAAGAATCACTTGTGTCCATATCGATTCTATGATACATGTAATTCATAGATACATTCTTTTGACATTCAAAAAAAAAAAGAAACTCACGTTAGAGTTTATGCAAATTGTCAGACAAGCGCAATAGTTTAAATAGCTAACAACATGAGGAATGTAGATATAAATATGATCAAAATGAAGAACAGAACGATAAAAAATAATTTCACAGGTGTCGTGAAATTCTTTTTCTTACCGCAATGATTTTATAACTGGTAAACTTAAGTTATACATAAAAAAAATTTTTTTTTTCATTGGACAAAAAAAGTCATCTAACTATAAATAAATATAACGATAGATGGCAATATTTTACAATAAAAATTATATAGAAAACAAATGGAAACAATATTGACCAAGAGAAGAAAAAGAAACTTAATTTCCGATAGTTTTGAAAAAGAAAATATCCTACTGTCAATTGCCAATAGAAGTAATATATTGCTCATAAATAGAACTCGGTAAGACTAGAAAAAGCTTGACAGAATTTTTCCTCTCATAGACCTTCCTTATGGAGTTATGAGTGTTTGATCGAATTTTCCATGCTTATGGCAAAGTATCCATAGAAAAATCAAAAAGAAGGAATTTTCATCTGAATTTTTACTCATAAATAGGTCTCTTAATTCTTAGAATATCCTGCAAGCTTCAGCCAAAACAGATGGTTCCTTGTCGATATATTGAATACTGAAGAAAAATTGGCATTATTACTTTTTTGTTAAAATAGTCAATATTTTGAGAAGGAACTAGCCGTTTTGATTGAAACTTTTAGAACATACTTAGGATTAAGAAACTTATCTATGGACAAAAATTTGAGTTTTCTATGAATACTTTGCTATAAGCTGAAAATTCGATAAAATGGTCATAGGTCTATAAAAGACGGTCTATGGGGAGTAGAGCCCGTCGGGTTAGTTCCGGACTCTGTCGTGTTCGGATCTGAAAATTTTGGATCCAACAGATTCTAATGTGGAGGAATTCTTTCAAGCTTTTTCTGATCTTACTGAGTTCTATCTATGAACAAAATATCACTTCGATCAGCGATTAGCAGTTGGATATGTTCCCTGATTAATAAATTTGAAATACTTTTTTATCTTCTTTTTGTAATTACTAATAAATTCTTTCAATTGAAAATCGGTTAATATATTCAAAATAAAAGCTAGTCCTAGTAGCATAACCAAGGATGAGCATCGACAGTCTTTGCTCTACCACCAGGAAAAAGAAAAAGTTAATAATCACCATCATTTACATTATCTCGGATGAATTGTTTGAAAAATCATAGGGCACTAACCTACCATCCATGATCTCTTGATTACGCTACTATCTGACATTTCAAGTTTAGAACGATATACATTCGTTTTCATATTAACTTTGACCGATGAAAATATGAATGGAAAGCAAAAACAACTCGAGAACAGCCATAGCAATTGTCGAAAAGGAGACACACATGTCTAATTGATTTGAATATGTATTGAAATTAGTTCGCTATAAGACAAAAATGATTTGTCATCTATGTGTTAAATAGACTAGTAAATTTCCCCATCATGTTTATTGTGAATACAAACAGAAGAAGAGAAAGAAAATAATGATTCTTGCCTTCTCTCTATTTTTTTATATTCAACCAATCGATATTCTCTCTTCTCATCGTTTTTTTCTTATTCTTTTCATTTCTTTTCTCTTAAAACTCAACAATATTCATAAGAATCATCTATTTTATCAATTTGTATACAATGTTTTTCAATTAATAAAACAAAAATTTTACAATGAAATTATTCGTTATACTTTTCTTTATCTTAATCAATTCAAGTGAACAATGGTTGTAAGTGAAATTTTCTTTATTCTCATCAGTTAATATGAATAATTAATACTATAAGTACAGAGAGTAAGACTAGAATATACGTCATGAGTATCATTGTTTTGTAAAGAATCTTTAAGGTTAATAGAACTAACCAGCAACATATATGTGTGCTGACAATTCGAACGATAATCGATTGTAATAGATGCAAAAATAAAATTTAAAATGATGATTTTCATGTATGACTATACTATTACGTTCATATTGTTTTAAGTAGAATGAAACGTTAAGTATTGAAATAGATTATTCAATTTTAGTCGAAATATTCGTTTGGATTTAAATCGCTGATATTTGGTATTTTTTAATTTAAAAGTAATCATTATTTGAATTAGAGTATTAAAGTTATGATGATGAATGAAAAATATTTTATTCCTAACAGTGATCAATTTACTTTGATTGACTTAAAATTTTAGCCTCAAAATTAAGAAATATTCATATCAAAGAAAATAGTTTGGTCATTTTTATAGTACTAAATTAAGTTCATTGAACACATATGAGAAAACAAGATCAATGATCATTCAATATGTTCAATAATTCTTTTCTTTTCTTTTTCTTTTTTTTATTTGCTTTTAAACTAAATATTTATTGCTCATAAAAAATGTAAACTTAGACGAAATATAAACATCATAGTAGATTATTAATCATACTCATAGAAAAAGTTCAAACAAATAAGATATTGTTTATCAGTTATCTTTCAAATATATACATATCGCATTTTTTTTTTCAAACACAATGTATCTATACATTCGTTTCTTTTGATTATTTATTGACAGGCAAAAGTGATTAGATGTATTTTTGAGAGATTATGACATACTACTAATTTCAAAGAATCATTCATATAAATTTCAATGACTTAGAAGATTTACTATTCGTTAATTACATAAAAAAAAACACTCCAATTAGTGTTTTTTTATGTGTGAGAATTTATTTTCGATTGATTATTTGAAAAAAGAGAGGAAATGGATGTGGGTCAGACAGGAGCGCAGAATCGGTTCGCATGCGCGTTCGGGGAAATTTTCTAAAAAAAAATGATGTGTTCGAAAATTTTTTTTTTTGAAAATTATTATCTAGAAATGTTTGTTTGAAACTGATAACTGTATAAATTCTTGGAGGAAATTTTTTCATTGTGCGGCAGATCCTCCATCTTTGAGTCAGAGTTTGGGTCTGAATCTTTTCTACACCCACCCCCTGATTGTCGCAATGACTATTCATTGAGTCATTTCTCTTCTTCCAAATAATCAACGGAAAGTAAATCTATACATAATGTTGTGGGTGAAGGGTAAAGGGCAACGATTATTGAGTACGTTTTCATAGCAACTGAGAACAACAGGCGTTAGATTCCTTTCACGGAGTTCCTTAGCAATCGAAAAAAAAGGACTGAACGGCATTATCAAAAAGACTTAGACTGTTTTAGAACATTTCAAAGTCTTCTTTGAAACTTGAATGACTGGAATGCATCTTGTGAATGTTTTCAACACTGGAGTTTTTGATTATTGTGCATATAAAAATTTATATTGAAGATGTCAAGAGTAATGGGTAGTGATGCATTGATTTGCCACACTCATCATATGTTCAACATTAAAAGCATGAATTGATTAATTTATAACTTTGGGAAAAAATCGATATCAGTGTTTATGAGCTTATCGAAATATTTAATAATACATTGAGATCTGCTATAGATATAATAGATACGTACGACAGATTTATATGCCAGTTAAATTAGGGATTGAAATAATGATAGTAATATTAAATTATGAAAAATAACGAACGAATTACAACAAGGCAAACAAAAAATAGAATCTCTTTGTATAAAATTAATAAGACAGATCGTTTCTGTGGCGATCGATTATCCTTGGAAAACAACTATAGTCTTCTAAAGATTTTTTTATAATGAAGTGAAAGAACAATTGTAATCAGAATACAGATTCTGTGTAATAGATTAATTATATCGTCGAATTTTATTTTTGTTTAGATCGATTATTCAATTGTGTAATATATCATCTGTAAGACGACAACTTTGCCATATTAAATATGGTCTTAATCATCGACAAATTCGTTTTTGTCAACGAAATCAATATATTATGCCTTTTATATGTTCCGGTACTAATTTAGCATTAGAACAATGTCAAACACAATTTAAAAACCGTCATTGGAATTGTACATTGTTTAAAGATAATGCTCTAATTGGAAATATTCTTGATTCGGGTTAATTAATTAATTATTTTTCTTTCTAAAAGTTTAAGAATATATTTTGTTCTTTTTTGACCTAATAGGAACAAAAGAATCGGCATATATTCATGCATTAACATCGGCTGGTATTGCATATGCAATAACAAAAGCCTGTACTAATGGACGACTTAATTCTTGTGGATGTGATATGACAATAACAGATAAATATTTAAATGAATCAATTCGATGGACTGGTTGTTCCGATAATGTTTTATTTGCAACAGAAATTGCAAGAAAATTTGTTAATTTTCGAGAATATGAAACAAAAACTCGAACAAATTTATTAAATATACATAACAATCAAGTTGGAATTCGAGTAAAATTTTATTTTGGATTTTAACGAATAGAAAAAAAAATTCCTTTTGTTTTCCCTAGACAATTCTTTCATCAGTTGATCATCAATGTAAATGTTATGGTGTATCTGGTTCTTGTGAATTAAAATCATGTTGGCGTTCACTTCGTTCATTTACATATATTGCTAATCAATTAAAAGAATTCTATGATAATTCAATAGAAGTATATATAGAACAAAGTTTAATTGAGAAGAAGTTACAATTTATACCTAAAAATATTCCATTTGAAAAAGAAAAACAATCAATATCAATAACATTTCAAAATGATTTAATTTTCATAAATTCAAGTCCAAATTATTGTGAATTAAATTTATCTATTGGCTCATTTGGTACAATAGGACGTGTTTGTAATCGAAATTCACGTGCTATTGATGGATGTGATTTATTGTGTTGTAATCGAGGTTATCAATCTCAAATAGTGACTATACGTAATCAATGTAATTGTCGTTTTCAATGGTGTTGCTATGTACAATGTCAAAATTGTGTTATAACTCAAGAGATTAGTCGTTGTTTATAAGCGAACTCTCGTTTTTCTTTTTCTTTTGTGTTTTTGATTTTTCATAGAATGCAGAAATACATTTTGTCTTTTTCTTTTATATGTAATCATGTTATGAAATAACATATGAGTAAGGAATATTAGTGAGGAGTGAAAATAGATTTTGGCCAATGATTCATAAGGAATGTACAAACTGTGGAATATATAATGAAAAGAAATGTGGAAGAATGTTGTAGATAATGAACATTAAGCTATCCTCTGGTAATTTGTGCTATCTATCATTAGTACTCTTCTGATTTTTATCACTTAAGACTTGTGCATAATACAGAGTTTTCCTCAACTGGACATTCAACTCTTTCTGTATAACTGGCTGCTTTATAAGTCCAATTGACACTAATATCATATGTATGTATGCAGTTGAGTATGTGCGTGGGTCTGAGTTTGGATGTTGATATGTGTGTCAATGTTGGTACGGATATGAATGCGCGTGTCTCTGTGGTGTTTCTCTTCATCTATTCAACCAATCAGACTTAAATTCACATACTCACATTCATACCCGAATGCGTCCACTGTCACGCTCACAGACCATGTCAACACGCCACATCCCACCCTCACCCACACTCACACCCACATCATACACTCACCCTTAATGTCATGGTATAAAGTTCACAGAATGTGATTGAAATGGCATAGTTAATAAACAAGTGAGGCCGGTTGTTTCCAATTATTTAATTATATTGAATTCAAGTCATGAAGTTTGCAGTGTGTAATCAAAGTGATGTAATCAATAAACAATTTTATGTGACAATGAAAAGTTACAGCATTTGTTCATGGCCATATTCGTCAAATTCTTTAAGCTGAATTAATATTCATCAAAAATAAGTTTCATCCGTCTAGTTCATTGAAATGCTTCGTATCAATATGATGGCGATGAAAAGCATTATTATAGACATGAGTGTTCCAATGTGTTTTATTAAAGCTATTTGTAGTTTTTAACTGGTAGGAAGTCATATGTCAAAAAAAGTCCGTTCTAGGACTGAGGCAGGTTGCTTATTCAACGTTACGTTCTATAAACTATTAAGGGGAAAGAAGAAATTTATTTTGAAAGTTTTGTCTTTCTCTATCGATGAGAGCGAAAAATTACATTTAAAAAACTTTATAGTTATTAATCATAATATTCAATTTCATTTTTGCAAGATAAGTAGGCGCATAATACAATTTTGAGGTGAGATTAATCGATGACTTTTGTAGAAAGGAGAAAGAAAAGATATCATTGATTCTATAGCATTATTTTGTAAACATTCATAAATCGATATAGTTTATGGAAATAATAGACTTATTTTAATACTTATTGAGAAGTGGTTTATTCATCACAATCGATAACAAATGTACATACAGTATACTATAGATAATAAATTATTTAAGTTTTAAACATGATTAAATATGTCTAACTGATTAAAATATTGGTCCAAAACATTGTCACATGTAAATGATTATTTATTCCCTTAGGCGTATAGTTAAAAAATAAACTTTGAAATTTTTGAAAGAAGTTCATAAGCAATAATTTTACTAAATTTTCTTAAAATAAAATAACTGGATTTTTCTAGGCCTTTTGTAAACCATATTCTTTATATTTTTCATTGGATACTTCTATAATCTTCTCTAACAAGTAGATCTTAATTATTTAAAGTTTATAATAAAAATGTTATGTGAAGATTATTGTAATTATTATTATTAGCTTACTTATAAAATGAGAAATGATTAATATTTAAAAAAAAATTATGTCAGATGAGCCAATACTATTAGTCATCACAGAATAGCAATAAGAATTTTATCAATTGAATCGAAGGTCGGACACTGTTGGCAAATTAACACATTCACCGAGTTTAGATGGTGGTAAACCATGTCCAGGACAACCAAAACATCGAAAAGCATCATCTAAAGAACACTAAATGAAATAAAATTTTTAATATTCAATATACAATGACTTCCAAAATTATTTCGTAATCGTAAACGTTGATAAGAATCCTTAAATAGTGATTTGAGTAGAAAATTTTTATTTCCAACTAGAATTTTCAAAGATAAGAATGCTTGCTAGTTCTTCAAGAGTAGAATCTCTGAAAGGCTCAAACTGAAGTTTTTCAGGTCCTTGAATTTGCAGGTAGACTTCTGTTAGAGTCACCGAGAATAATAGAGCAAACAATACTCTATAAAATGGAATTTTTTTCACCTCTCTACAACATTTTTTGATTGAGATACATCAATCAATCTTACAGAAGGTACAAGTCATTTTTTTTCTATTATTGCGCATGAGAACATCATGTTTGTGCCTTTTGTAAGATTAATGTATCTCGATCAAAAAAACGTCGTAGAAAGTTGGAAGATATTTCATTTTGTAGAGAATTGTTTGCTCTATTATTTTCAGTAATTCTAACAGAATTCTAGTTGATAATTCTAGAAGCCCGAAACCTTAGATTTTGGTTTTTTAGAGACTCTATCCTTGGAAATCTAGTAACCATTCTCATCGACGATAAGTTTTGTTGGAAATAAAATTCTCAACTGAAATCATTATTTGAATTCTCATTAGCTTTTATCGTAGTGGAAAGAAAAATTAAAATTAAACTTAATCGAATAATTTCAAGAAACCAAGATATTTCTTAATACATATATTTCCACAAGAAGATTTGATATTTTCTGAGCTCTTCGTGTTCACGTTCTTGTGTTAAACCAGAAGTACAATTTTTGGGTGCGGGTATGAGAAAATAGAAGACCCACACCCACACCCGATAGCTCTTTCCGTTGAAGAATTATTCGAAAAACAACCACCCGACTTTTATTTTGAAATAAACATTATTTTTTATGGATTGTTTTTGGTTCAGATTGTTAAAAAAAAAGAAAAGAAGAAATAAATTAATCTGATATTATCTTAAATTCTTATTTTGAATAATTTCTATTAATTATTTTTATCAAATACAAATAAAACAAAAAAAGATGTTATTAAATTTTTTGATAATTTGGATTTGATAATGAATAACGTTGTGATATTGGTTTTCGTAATGTTTTGATATATTTTCCTTTTAAAATTCTTTGATAATTAGTTTGTTTTCTTATATTTCTTGAAGATTGTTTTATTTTCTTTGATTTTCTTCTTATATTAATAGCTGATAAATCATTCATTTCAATAGGAGCATCACTAAAACCAAGTAAGAGAACTGAATTTTCAAATAATTCTGATGCAGTACGTGAAATTCCATTTAATTCATAATGTTTTATTCGTTTTTTTCTTGTTAAATAAGTATGAATATCACTTGCAATAACAAGACAAACAATAGAAATAATTATTAAAATTGCTACACTAGCAAATGATTTACTTGTAATTTGGAATAATATCATTTGTACACTTTTTTCTTCACATTGATTTCCATAATATCCATCAAAACATGAACATCTAGAGGAATTAATACCATCTAGACATATTCCATTATTAGAACATTTTATATCTATACAATCATCAATATTATCTTCACAATGATCACCTTGAAAACCTGGTAGACATAAACATTTTTCTTTTGATTCAATATTTAAATCAACAATTTCAATTAAATTTCCACCATTTATACAATAACCAAATGGATATTTTAAATATTGACAATGTTCACCTGATATATGTAATGGACAAATACATTCATAATGAATTTCTGTTAAATCATTAGCAGAAGAAGATTTATTATTATAATCTGGTATAAGAGATTTACAAGTACCACCATTTAAGCAGGGATTTTCATTTTGACATATATCAAAAAAGATTTTTAACGGTTGATCAAGATCACATGATTGTTTAAGCATATGTACACGAGTAAAAACTGGTCCTATATGAGCTAGGGTTCGATTACCATAACGAACAGTAGCTTTAATAAAATAAGAAAAAACAAAACAAAATTTTAATTATTTAATGTTGATACGACTATCTGGAGTCCGCGATAACCCTAGTAATTTTCATCGTACTATTATTAATACATCGTATTAGATGAAATTACTTATCTTTCACATGTGCACTAGTGAAAACTAATAGACTATACCGATAGTATCTACCTGTTACGTTCAATTATTATTTATATAAGCAGATCATCCCAAAGTGCATATGCATTCATAACAAGTAATCGAATTATGTCTTTTTAGATATGCATTGGAGACACTTATGAGGAAAGATCTTCAAGTGATCAATCGCTTTTAAGTTGGGACTATATGCGATTAGTAGAGCCTAGTGAATAGGTTAAATACTCTAGAGTGGTTCGAACTATTGAATCTTTGTTGATGAGATATCGAAATTTTCCTGTAGGGTCTCAGTTTTCAAGCAAAACTACTTTCGAATTTTGACTTGAAATTTTGCTTACATAAAGGTTTCGATCAGACTAGCTTGTAAAAATAATTTCATAATTATTTGACAAAGTCTCTTCGATATATAAATCCTTCAAAATATCCATGCTTTTTACGATAATCCTGGTAAAGCAGCTATATTTTAAAACATTCATATCTCGCTTGGTAAGGTTTTGTTAAATAATTCTGAAATTTTTTTTTGTCTACAAGCTAGTCTAAATGGAACTATTATGTGGACAAAGTTTCAGATCAAAATTCAAAGGTATGGTTTTCTTGAAAATTGAAAATCTATAGAAAAAATTCGATATCTTAGCAACAAAGATCCAACAGCTCAAACCACTCTAGGGCTATTTATCTACTAACTAGACTCTATTAATTGAATATAGTTCGAACTTCAACTTTTTTGTGTTATATTTATTTTATCAATGGAGATTCTCATTGTAAACTCAATTTTGATCGAAAGTAAAAATGTCGAGAAAAATGAAGTAAAATTCTGAAAGAAAGACTGTTTTTGAAAGATATCGAATAAAGATGCCATTGTTGCATGGCTTATGGAATATAGGCGTGTGGCTAAAAAGAAGATTCATCCATACACACCTTAATTGCAAGTTCTCATCAAAGAATAAATTCTCGTACTGACCAAAATCACCTAAATATATAGGATTTGATCAATTTTATGAAAAATGTGTATAGAATGTTATACTTCATTGGTCTTCTGTTGCATTGAAGCAGAAAAACAAACAAACAAACAACATTATTTCAAAGACTGAATTCGACCTAACCATAATCTCTTATCGCTTGCCAAATTCTGTCTTGAGAACTGTCATTGAACGCATAGACTCATACACAAACATCTGTTCATAATATTGCTAGAGAGGACCATTTTGTAAAGAGATTAGTCCTTTCTATTGTCTTTTGAGATTTTCTAAAGTCAACCTTAACAAACAAGTGTCGAAGGCGCGACCTCGAAACATCAGATTGGCCGAAATTGCGACTCAAAAAAAATCTGATTGGACGATAAATTAACAGCGAAGACATGTGGTTGACTGAACTGCCTTTATGAAAAAGTCTTATTCCAAAAATTGGCTCGACATCTCGAGATATTTGTGTATACGTGACTGCAAACATACAATTATGGCCATAACCTCATTTGATTTTATATGACCTTTCCTTTAGTCGAGGAAATGATCTCATCACAGCATCTAATCTCCTCAACGGTTTGTCTTTTATAAAGTTATGATTATGCAATAAGAACATTATTTAACATCGATAAACTAATATTTTCAAAGAAGTATTTATGCTTATATTTCATTCTTTCTTTTTCAATAATAAACATGTAATTCGAATTTAGCCACTGTATTTTTTTAATTTTCTGAACAAGAAAAATATTCAGTGGTCTCCATCTTAATTTTTGATATTTGTACTATTTTGTTTTTTTTTCGACTTTATACTTTTGACTAAAGTTGGAACAATCGCTCGCACGAACTTCAGATAGACAACTAGTTGTAGTCGTGTTAAAGTTAACAAAAAAATAATTTGTCTTACCAGTCTTTGAAAGATTTAAATTTATGTTTAAATTATTGTCATTTGTACAAAATTCACTATCAAAATAAATTTCAGCTGTTTCAGCATCAATTTGATGAACAAGCATATTCATATTATCTAATTTTGTTAATTTTAATTCAAATTGTTCAGTCTTTATATAACCAATAACTACATCAGATAATGATTGATTTGTTTGA